ATCGGCGAAATTTTGCCTACAATAACCACTGGTGACCTCACCTTTGACCTGACCAAAAAATTGACCGAAGTGATTTCGTCATCACTTTTTTTACGCTCTTTCGAACGCCGCCTTCCGCGTATCGCTACGTGGCCCAGGAGCCGAGTTACAAGGGGGGGGGGGTGTTCAAACACCCCCCAGCAGGGCGTGGAAATCCAGGACCCCCAGCCGGGCGCGGGTTAATGTCACACCCTCCCACAACCTTTATTTTGCCTTCTACGGCGCAATATCAATATAATTTCGCCGCTACTGGCTTCCAGACCATATCTGCTACGTTCAAGTCAGGTGACCTTTGAATTTTGATGAGCCTGACCGGTCAAGAGGTTTACATACGGAGGTCATTTCCGGGGCAGTACCCAGCGCGCGCGGACCAGGTGTCCAGGATGGCAAAACTGCAGAGCAAATTGTCCCATAGCAGGGCAGTCGGCATGGTTGCCGGCGGCATGACCCACAGCCAGGTCACAGAAGCACTGGGCATGAGTTCCTGCACGATTTGGCGGTGGTTGTCACGCGACAGAAGCGGATAGACGCCTGGGAACAAGCTAGGTCGCGGCAGGAATACTTCCGACAGCCGGGTAGCGCAAATCGTCATCGCAAAGCGCGGTGCTAAAGACGGGCCAATCCACAAGAAAACTGGCAATGAGGCTGATTGCCAACAGTCATCCAGTCTCCAAGTCAATAATCCATCGGTAACTGAGGTCTATAAAGCTGAAGCCCACCAAATCACGTCTCCAGTCGAAAACTTCTGTTAACCCGCGCCCCGCTGGGCTATTCAGCCATACGCGCCCTGCTGGGGGGGGGGGGGCAGATTCTGCCCCCCTGTCTAACTTCCGAACTGATGGTTCTAGAAAGACGGGGAAAACGGCAATCGAAAGCTCTCAAGAAGGCGGATCTTAAGAGCCCATTTTTTGCTTAAGTAGGTCAGAGGTCAGGTCAAGGTCAGGTCAAGGGTACAAAATGCAAGTTTCTACATTATCGGCCTTGCACCGTAGTTGCCGAAGAATAGACTGAGACTGATTGCCCAAAACGTGTTCTTAGGCTACCAAGACAATATTCGTTGCATACAATATCATTCAAAGGTCAAAGTCAAGGTCAGGTCAGGTCAGGTCACCAAAAAAAATATAGATAAGGGCATGTGCGACACATGTTTTACGGGTCATTTTATTCATAGAATTCAATAGGCACACTCAATAAGTGATATAGACCACCTCTGGATGAATTTCAGGTCAAGGTCAAGTTAAGGTCAGGTCAAATGAGCTCAAATTTTTGAAGCTGGTTGTTAAGGCCTAAAAAGGTGTCAATCTGATGTAGTTGTTCACGGCGAATCGAATGGTGCAGGGGGGCGACACGGCTATTCGCGCAATGTATTCAGTTATGGGCCGCGCGGGGCCTCGCGATGACGCGACTGGAGGCAACTGCTCAGCGCGCTAGGATACTTCTGGCGGGGCCGGGCGCTGAACGGTGTGCAATGAATGGGTTATGGGCGGGCAGACAGAGATGAGGTATTGAATTTGAATTGACATCAGCAATCGGGTGGGGAAGGAGAACGTTTCTAATCGAGCTTGGGATGGGGAAAGCCGAAAATGTCACGATCGGCTCGAAGCTCCGTCAGGGCCGGGTGCCGTACCATGTGTAGTATATTTAGGCGGGCAGACAGAGATGAGTTATTGGATTTAAATTCACCTTACCATCGGTTTCTGGTGGGGTTTGAAGACGTTTTTAGTTAAGCTCGGGGTGTGGCAACCCACTGGGTGATCCAGGGCAAGGCATTTGGGGCAAACCGAAATCGCTTTTCGAGGATAAAAGAAAACTTCACAACTTTTCTGAGGAAATGTTGGTTAATCACACTGCACAGCAGTATGCAAGGAATCAAAATCCGTGTTTTTTTTAAAATTAATTCGGAGAAACTTTTTGGGGTAAGCCCCCGCAGTGTCCCAGACCGCTTCCTGGATCCGCCAGTTGCGAATAAGTCACGGTCGATACCGAGCTTCAGAGGTGGACAGACACCTAACCCCACATCCTACTGCTATACCCGTGCTTCTGTGGGTGAAGCACTGAAGCATCACGGAACCCCACAGGACCTGCGAGTCGACGAGGTGGCCGCTTTGGCCGCCGGGTACTGCAACTCCCTGGAGTTGCCTGGGACCGATAAAACAACAGCTCCGGCGGTGCCCCTATGGGCCGTAGTAATTACGGCCCTTACGGCAAATATGACCACGTGACCCCTGCTCTCGCCGCGCTCGGCTGGCCCAGCGTGCAGGAGATGATCGCGCGTCGTGATGCGTTCAATGTGCACCGTGCTCTGTTCGCCGCCGCTGCCCCCGAGTCGTTGCGAGCTATGTTTCCCTCACGCGCTTCCGTCTCCGAGAGGGCAACGCGCGCCGTCGCCGCGGGCCCGGCGGTGATCGAGTTGCCCCGAGTCCGCCTGGCGGTGGCCAGGCGGCAGTTTCCCTACCGAGCTGCCGCAGCTTGGAACGGCTTGCCGCGGGAGGTGACGGCGACCGCCTCAAGGCGACAGCTGATGGAGCATTTTATAAAGTGCAGCATTGATTGACGCAAAATTTGACTTATACTCTTTTATTCTTTGCATGTCTTTGCATGTGCCTATATATGTGTGTACCTATGTGTTTTTAGCATAGTTTTTTTTTTAGCAATGTGATATTTACATGTACTGACTGGGCCGTAATAGCCACTCTGTTGGAAAAGCCCTAATAAACGAATACGAATACGAATTAGTGAATTCCCGTAATGTAGAGATCATAATTCATATCCTCAATAATCTCCATTAAGATTTTATATTACTTAACAATATGTCAGACCAATTATGCTTGCCTACGTTCAGGCATTACCTCTGATGGTAATATGCCCAGTACATGTGTTCGGACGGGGTGATCTTTCTACGAATGTACGCACCATCCAGGCCTAGGATGCATCGAGGTTTAAAAGAATGCAGTCTGTAGATCAATCAACATAACAATGGTGGTATGCAACCACATTAAAATATCTCCCCCGCTCCCGCAGCGTTCCAACGCCCCTCCGTTATGCATTCGCCTTGTGTCCGCCGAGCCGGCTTGCCTCCAATGACGTCATCGGCCGGCCGGCGGCGTTCAAGGTCAAACGGCTGGTGTCCTTACCTGGAGTTCTATAGCCTTGGAATGGTGCTATTTTTGTTTCTGTACGAGGTCTAGAACTTCCAAAAAAACAACATTTTTTTCAAAAAATTTGTTTCGTGACGTCTTAAATTTGAAATAACTCCCACATTTTTGAACCGATTCTTTTGAAAACTGGTATGTAGGTGCAGATAGACCACTTCTCTGACATATATTCCGGCTTTTTCGATACACTAAAAATTTTGGATTTGATAACTATTTCCCCAAAAAGTCAGTTTTTTTGGGAAAAATTTGGCCCAAAATCCAAAATTTTCAAAACACCGAGATAGCCATTTGATAGACAAAGTAAAATCACGCCTATAACCTTTTTTGTTACGTTTTGATTCCTTTGAAAATGAAGATATTAGCGGCGTTTAAAATTTTGCCGTTTTTGAGGCGAAAATAGCGAACATGACGTCACTAAAACGTCATTTTCTTAAAATTTTCCGACGGATTTCGCTCTAATTTTCAGGGAAGGTGTCAAATTGATGTATGATAAGGTACTGAAAGTTTGACGTCGCTGGCGTAGCGTGTTTAGAAGTTATTGGCGAAAAACGGGAGGGGGAGCAGGCCCCCCCCCCCCCCAGCGGGGCGCGGGTTAACCCTCGCCGGCCGAGGTGGGGCGGGTGCCGCCCCCCATAGGGGTTTTTCGCGATAGCTCCGAACACGCTGGCGATAGAGAGCTGAAACTTGGCATACCTGACCTTCGATTCAAGCCGGATCTTTTGACACCAACCGGATTTTTTGGTCAGGTCAAGTCACTGACCTATGACGTCCTGAGTGAACCTCTGCACGGTCTTCAGATGTCGCAACTTCGCAACGCCCTCATTGCCAGAGGAGATGTCATAGGGAAATGAAACCTGCAGGATCTAGTATCCAATATAAGTCTCACAACTTGTATATCTCGGATTTTTCCTAAAGGTGATATGAGGTCAGGTCATTTTCGTGACCTCACCATTATAAGCCAATGGGGAAAAATGAAAACTGCTATTCTGGCGCCGGGAACGATTTCCAACTATCTCAAACACACAGAATCGTGATTTGATGCACTCCTTGCAAGGTTAGATGCGTTACTTCTGCAATGTTGACCTTGTATGACGTCATTTATGACGTCATCAAGGTCATATTAGTTTTTCGTCAATAACTCCCGATCTAATTGAGCTAGCGAGTCGGGAAAGCCACCAATGGACTCAGGAAGACCTGCCGAATCGAACGATATGCGACATGACCTCTTCCGACCAACTTCGTGACCTGGGGGTGCTGACCTGACCGTGACCTGAGGTCAACACCCTAAGTTGACCTGACCCAAACAGAAAGTATATCATTTGACGCGCCTGAGCGAGGCGAACACGATGCTGCTAAAATCGTGGCTCTGCGGCCGTTTTTTGCGAAGTTATTCACGAAAAACTGAACCGTACCTTGGTGCACTTGACCTGACCTCAGAGGTCACCGGTTGACCTATGACCTTAAAATCGGGTACTAATCTCTGCGTCTCGTAACGGCGCATACGCTCGTTTTTTCCGCGACGCGCTAGCTCCATCAGAGGCGAAACGGCGAGGGGAGGGTCGTACTCCCACCCCCCCCCCCCCTCGGCCGGCGCGTATGTAGAAAACCAATAGGTCCGGCGAGGGTTAAACATGTCCAGGGCCATCTTTCAACAGGTCGAGTTGGTATCGGTATACCAAAAAGTTGGTATCTGATTGACATCTCTAATCGACGGCTCCCCGTAGTTTTTTTTTTTTTTTGCCGGCCGGTGTCAGCTCGGACACCGCTGGCTTGATGGGTGTGGAAAAAAACGTGCAAACAAGGCCGTCAACAGTGTTGATTTTATTTAGTCATAGGTACCACGGCAATCGAGTCTGAACTTTGCAGCTAACAGCCACTTCGGAATGTGATATTTTATAGGTAGGTAGATCGCCGCTCGGTAAGTGGTGTACGTGCTCTTCAAGCGCAACGATGACACCCTTTCCGAGGGCCCACCAACCCTGATGGAGGGCACTGGGTAGGATCGCATTGAAGACGGGCGGGCCCCTCCACACGGCTGGCGGGCCCGTCAGCAGTACGAGGCGTCCGGCATGTTGTCGATAAGCCAGTCGGAGAAGGAGTAGACCCGGGTGTAGACGCCCGGCCGGTTGGGCCGCGCGCAGCCGATGCCGAAGCTGGTGATTCCAATCAGCGAGTGCCGGCTCGGCCGGTACCAGGTGCGCACGCTCAGCGGTCCGCCCGAGTCGCCCTGCAGGCACAAAACGCGCTCGGCACGTCATCGCGCGCCGTTCAATAGCTTTCACCCAAAGCCATCCAACAGTTTGAGAAAATTGACTTTATACGAGTGTTCGTGATCTTATAAAGAAACTATCACCAAATATTTCAAACGCGGCGCAGCATTTTCAAACTTCGCCATAGCATAGCACTAAACGCATTAATACTTCTTTATAAAAATCTAGCAAGTCAAAGTCAAGAAAAGTTGAGTCACATCAGGTCGATGACCCAAAAGTCGGCAAAATCTTAAACTTGTGGCGAATAGAACTAAAACAGCTTCGCGAAAAAAAAAACGAGCGTGCTGCCCGTGACGAGAGGAGGCCGATGACACCCAATTTAATTAATATACTAATCCAGATCATTGGTTGACATCCCAGGTCACGTCAATGACACAAAAGTAGGGAAATTGAACTTTTTATGGTGAATAGAGTTTTTGGAGAACTTTTTTGAAGAACTTTGTCAAATAACTTTCTTGAGGGGTTTTCGGAATTCTGATTTCGAGTTCTATATTAGTTGCGATCAAAGGTGATGATTGATGATGCATTCGAGGTACGTCATGTTAGGTCAACCAGAAGGCGTCCCGCCGGCTATGCATTAACAACCGTGCTGGTAGTTTCGAAAAACGAGATATCAGATGGGTTCTCACGTCAGGTTCACCCCGTTGCCACGGCAACCTGATGTTATTTGGTCCCCAGAGTACTAATTACCAGTTATAAGGAGTGCTGGCGGGCTGAGCTGCGCTGCGGGCGGCGCTCACCTGGCACGTGTCCCTGCCGCCGCCGCCGAGGTCCTCGGCGCCGGCGCAGATCATGTGTTTGCGTATGTTGGGTCCGAGCGGATCCAGCAGTCGGGCGCAGCGCCGGTTGGAAATGGTGTGCACCGTAACCGTCTGCAGCACGTCCGGCACGTCCTCGGAGCCCTCCTGTTCGGCAAGGGCAACAACACCGTCAGCCGAAAGAGCGCGGTGCGACTGCCAGCGGGATCTCCGGGATATACGCTACAGGCTCATTTAAAGGGACCCTCCCCCCCCCAGGGGTAGCCAGTAACAGTTGGTATCATTAGGCCAAATGGGCGCTCAAAAACTACTACCCCATAGGGTTTCCATGTTAAATCGACCCTTTTCAGGCGAGCCCCACACGTAAGCTTAACAATGAAGAGCCAATATTATTGTGGGGGAAAGGTAGCCTCAAGCTTCCTCTACAACCTTTTTATCTGGCGTTTTTCGATGCGGAGGCCGTAACAGGTCCAAAAAGCATTGGGTGCTGCCCGAGGTACCAAAAGCCTCTCCACGAGAGCGCAAGTTCCTGCGCATGCGCACATTGCCTCAACCCTGCACTAGCGTAAATTAGCGATACTGCTCACGGACTCGATCAGCCAATCAGCGTCCCAAATCACATTCATAGATGTCGCTAGCATCACGTAAATCCTGCTTGCGAACACAGTTTAAGAATGAAACAGCTGCCCCATTTCTGCCTTCCATTGATTCCTTCCATCTTAGTATCAACTACACGCATTTCAACCAACTTTATACTAAGTTTTAAACTATGGTTAGTATGCTATTTCTGGTACATATAATTTAAAAGTAACTGCTTTATGAATTTGGCTTTACTCGTCAGAATGAAATACTCTATTTTTTTCATATTCAAAAAATATATCACCTACCATGTAACTCGTCCAGGTAAAATGGGCGCTTTCCGCGTCGTTGGTGTACCCGTTGTTCTATTTCACCCACCTACCAAATTTGGTGTTTTTAGGTGCCATAGGAGCCAATCGCGAGGGGTGGATCGCATCAACCCCCCTCCCCCCTGCCAGGCCATGTTATGAAAAATGCCGTGCCAGGGCGAGGGTTAACTGATTCGTTTAGTAGCTTTTGATTGGGCACTGCCCACGTTGTCTGTCTATGACACGAGTAGAGGCTGCTGACATCGTTTGTCGCGGTTAGATAATAATACCAAATGCCAATCCAAGTCCCAGTGGCTGCTCGATCGCAATTCTCCTGACCCACCTCTCCAGCCAGGCTAGGCTTTGCTCGGCACAGCCGTCGCCTCAGCGCCTCGGGCGGTGACCCGTTCAAAGGGGCTCACAATTCCTATGGTGCCGTGGCTCTCAAACCAACACAGAGCAGTGGGACGCACAGGCTCACTTTCCATATAAGGCGAAAAGCTGATTCTGACGCCGGGGTTTCATTCATGCTAAGGCGCCCAATCACAACGCCGCATTTCAGTTAGTGTTGGGTGCAAAGACTGCTATACTCCGCCCCTCCATCACGTGACCCTTCCCTCACGTGGCCTCAGTCACGTGGTGCTTCCACTCCTTGGCGCATGGCGGCGCTAGTCTCGCAGGGGCGGTGGTAGCTGTCTCCCCCGCCGTCCGGGGGCGATGGGTAGCAAGTGCTGGTGACTGTACATGAGGACAACCAGAGCCCCGCCCGGTACGAGCTGGACTACGCCATCGAAATCGGCGAGTCACCTGACTTTGCTGGGGACTCTCGAAGCCCAGCTGAAGGATGCCGGCATAGAGGACGCCGAATCCACTCACATTGCCGACCTGCACCGAGCTGTCGGACTGGGAAAACGCCTCCTATTGGGCCTGCGGGAGCAAGCCGCAGTGCCTGTGACGCCGAACGTTCAACACCAGGCGACCTTCAAGATCGACTTCAATCTCCCAAAATTCCACGGCGAAGTTCTCGCCTGGCCTGAATTTTGGGAGGTATAGGAGGCATCTGTGCACAGGAACTTGGCGTACTCGCCTGTACAGAAATACTTTTACCTGAAGCAACACCTCGATGGAGATGCAGCCCGGGCCATCCAGGGCCTGCCACTGACGGCTGAAAACTACCCAGAGGCAGTACGAATTATGCAACACCGCTTCGGCAAGGACGACGTCCGAAAAGACACGCTGGTAGCAAAGTTGCTCAGCCTACCTGGAGTGACCGACGCAGACAACATCAAATCCCTGCGGAGGTTGATCGACGAGGTGACAGCAGGAGTCCGGTCACTGAGAGCCTTCTATAGCACCAACATCGGAGAGGTGCTGCTTCCGGTCCTCAAAGGCAAATCCCAGCCTCCTGGAGACTGCAGTGGGCACGACCGAGACGCGAGCGGACCACTGATGGCGAGAACACTGAGTTCGAGTCATTCCCCAGATTCCTCCTACAAGAGGTAGAATGCCAGGAAGAGTCCGTCCAGGTGTTGTGCCAGAAGAAGGGGAAGAGTCGAGCCAGCCAGTCAACAGGGCGACAACCAGTGTTTTCAACACACAACGTGTCAACTCGAACCCAAAGTGAAGATGGAGTTGCCCCACCTGCAAGGAAGGGCAGCATCGAATCAACAGATGCGACCAGTATCTGCAGATGCATGTTGACGACAGATGGGTGGCAGTTAAACGTGCAGGAGCATGTTTTCAGTGTCTCGGCCCACACCACGTTCGAGACTGCCGGAGTGGTACATGCAGACACTGTCACCGGCCACACCAAACCTCACTGCATCGTTCCCAAGCCTCGGCACCAGAGCCTTCACTTGCTCCTCTCGCCAGCTCTGTTCCCTACAGTCCTGCTGTACCACCTCCCGCGCCGGTACCTCCAACAGTTACCACGCATCCACCAGTCTCCAACAACCAACGGCCAGAACCTTCCACTTCCAGACACGGCCAGCACGCTCATCTCAGCATGCGCTACGCAGCTCAGCGTACTACATCGCAGTGTTACATTCAAACTGCGCTGGTGGTGGGGAGAGGACCACGTGGGCGGGCCTGAGATGCTGAGAGCCATTCTGGATGGTGGGTCCGACGCTTCTTACACCAGGAAGACCGTCGCCGAAGAGATGAGACTGGAAGTCGTCGGCTTCGACACCCTTGCTTGCGTCGGCTTCCAGGAGCGAGTGGAGGAGCCACGTCATACGATGGCGTCGCAGTCGACCTACAAAATTGACATGGAGGTGAAGCGAGGAGCTTCGAGCTGTGGTGCTGCGACCGCCTGTGCGCACCTCTACCACCGGCAGAGCGACCAGAGGGTTTGGAGGAAAACATCGAGCTGGCCGACGATTTCAGCGGTGGCCAGGTGGACATTCTGATGGGTACAGACCAGTACTATAAGGTTGTGCTGCGGAATTGCGTCGTTCTAGACCAGTGGTCGGCAGGTCCTCCGGGGTCGTGCCCCCTTTTTTGGCGCCAGGCAGGCCATTACCCCCACCTACCAGACCCCATTGGTGATACAACCAAGATTACTGAAATTCCATACTTTTCCGTGACTCTTTGCCCTTAGTATCATATCTGCGAGAAACCGCAGGCCCCTCCCCTGCAGTTTCTCGCAAATATCTCAAAAACGTTGGCACGGAGCGCCACCATTTTGGAACATTTTATCATGCATCGTTTCTGCACATGTTGTGAATATTTCAGACCAGAGTCACTCAAGGTCAGGTCACCAGATCACGTCAAGTGACCTCACCTCAGTAAAGACTGCAACGCCTGCTTTAGCTGCATTGAGTGACAGATCTCTTTCAAACTTTCAGGAATTGATAAAGGTAACAACATGTACAAAATTTGTATCTCGGAGATTTGATGTCGGTGACCAAAGTTCGTCAATTTCACGCCCTCTCCCATAATCAATGGGAGAGGGCGCAAAGTCAATGGTAGAAAATTGAAAGGCGCCTGTTTTGGACCAGTGTCATTCCTAACACTGTGACACTCTTATTATTTACAAGTAAACATGACCGCTGAACCGGAAAATTGCACCCGTAACCCCACTGTATGTCCCTGAGGTCATTTCAGGTCATGAATGGTATCTAACAGCTATTCGCTAATAACTTTTGATAAAGGCATCCCAGAGCGATGAAAATGCCTTAGATGTTGTCAGCTCGACGATACGGATCGACTGATATGCAACAAAACCTTCGATGCTTCTCGACGGGAGGATCACGATGCCGATAAAAGTGAGCTCTTGCAAGTTTTGAGTGAAAAGTTATTTAAGAAAAACTATCAGCAAGCATCGTACATTTTGGCAGTTTTTGTCTCCTGCAGGTTAAACCCAGGGTATATTGAGTGAAAGTTAAACCATCTTCGGTTGAATCTGAGGGCAGGCATAAGAAAAAAACGTTAAGAGAGCTATCGAATGCGTTTTTCCGCAGCGCTGTAGCTCTATCCTTTCCTGAGCTATAGGCCAGTTTGTCGAAAATTGTCAAAGGTTGACCTGGAAATTGGTGAAATTTTACGTTCGATGACTTCTGGTGACCTGACCTTTGATTTGACCTAAAAGGTGACCATAGTTTTGTCTTCACCATTTCTTACGCTCTTTCGATCGCCGACTACGGCGTTTCGCTAGTGACCCAGGAGCCAAGTTAATAGGGGGTGTTCAACCTCCATCTCCAGCAGGGCTCGGAAATCCAGGAGCCCCAGCGGGGCGCGGGTTAACCCCCATACGTATAGGGGTAGCGGGTATTTTTCGAGAATAGATCACGTTAAAATCATCACGAAAAAAAACTGTACCATCGAGCCGATCATTTTTATCTGTCCTGAAAATGGCATGACCTTAACCCGAATAACCGTTGATTTGTGAGATCTTTCTTGAGGCCACGGCAGGCCACAAAATCTCACTTCAAGAAGTTACAGCAGGACCCGATTAACTCGGCAGTTGTCATTGACCTATGGAAGGTCACCCAATGACCAACGACCTTTAAATTGGGTAGCAGCGGCTGCTTATCTTCACGGGCAACACGCTCAATTTTTCTGCAAAACTCCAGCTCAGAGACCGAGACGCTCAGGTCAGGGTGCAATGGACGACTCCTCTCCCTTGCGTTAGTGACTGTGAAAACGCCAATAGACGAGCGCCGGCTAGTATACAGGACAGTTACTTTCCACGACTGTACGGAATGGTGAGCAGATACATGAAAATTGGCATGCGCCAGCCTTGTGTTCATGCCTTGTGCG